AGCTTACTTGATCAACCGTGGGCCCTCAGTTCCTTTGGATGGCAGAATACCAAGGAAGTTTGGAGCAAGAAAGAAATAAACCTTTCACACTTAAGAGTGTTTGGTTGTATTTCTTATGTACACATAGACTCTGCTGAAAGAAGTAAACTTGATGCTAAGTCCAACAAATGTGCCTTTGTTGGTTATGGCGGTGATGAGTTCAGTTACCGGTTTTGGGACTACGAAAATCGAAAGATCATCAGAAGCAGAGACGTCATTTTCAATGAAAATGTGATGTACAAAGACAGGTCAACCGCAGAATCAAGTAATACCGAGGCTGAAACAAAGGAATTTGCTGAGTTCGAGGAGATTTCTGGAAATGATGTTCAGATCAATCCTGAAGCAGTTCAAGAAGAACCACGCACACCCGAACTGAGACGCTCCTCCAGAATTCCTAAACCAACCCAACGGTATTCGCCTTCTTTGCACTACTTGTTGTTGACTGACAATGGTGAACCAGAGTGCTATGATGAAGCAATGCAAGTGGAGGATTCAGTCAAGTGGGAGTCTTCCATGAAAGATGAGATGAACTCGCTTATGTCAAATCAACGTGGGAATTAGCTGAATTACCACCAGACAAGAAAGCGCTTCATAACAAGTGGATTTACAGGATCAAAGAAGAGCACGATGGGAGCAAACGCTACAAAGCAAGATTGGTTGTCAAAGGCTTTCAGCAAAAAGAAGGTATTGATTACAATGAAATTTTCTCTCCAGTCGTGAAGCTATCTACAATCAGACTGGTGTTGAAAATTGTAGCTGCAGAGAATTTACATCTTGAGCAGTTAGATGTAAAGACAGCTTTCCTTCATGGTGATTTGGAGGAAGAAATCTACATGAGACAACCAGAAGGCTTCATAGAAGCAGGCAGGAAAAACCTGGTATGCAGGTTAAAGAGGAGCTTGTATGGTTTAAAACAAGCTCCTAGACAGTGGTACAAGAAGTTCGATAGCTTCATGAGTAGCAGTGGTTTTACCAGATGCCAAGCAGATCATTGTTGCTACATAAAGAGGTTCAACAACAGCTTCATTATTTTATTATTGTACGTTGATGACATGCTCGTTGCAGGCTCAGACATGCAAGAGATTATACACTTGAAGCAAAAATTGTCGAAGCAGTTTGCTATGAAGGATCTGGGCGTTGCAAAGCAGATTCTTGGGATGAGGATCAAGAGAGACACAAAGTCGGGACTTTGATGTTATCACAGGCTGAGTACATCAACAAAGTACTCTCCAGGTTTAACATGCAAGATGCTAAACCAGTAAGTACACCTTTAGGTGTTCATTTCAGACTCTCCAAAGAACAGTCACCAAAGACGGAGGAAGAACGTGCACACATGGTGAAGGTGCCGTATGCCTCAGCAATTGGAAGTTTAATGTATGCCATGGTTTGTACCAGACCAGATATTGCTCAAGCTGTGGGAGCTGTTAGCTGGTACATGAATAATCCAGGAAAAGTACACTGGGAAGCAGTCAAATGGATCCTCAGATATCTGCGAGGTACCATAAACAAAGCACTTTGTTTCAAAGGTGGAGATACGATACTGACAGGCTATGTAGATGCTGACTTAGCCGGAAATGTCGATATCAGAAGAAGCACTACAGGGTATGTCTATACTCTAGGAGGAACTGCAGTGAGTTGGGTTTCTCAACTACAGAAGATAGTTGCTCTTTCCACAACTGAAGCAGAATATGTCGCTGTTACGGAAGCCAGCAAGAGATGGTTTGGCTCCAACGTTTCTTGGAAGAGTTAGGCAAGAAACAAGAAAACAATGTCTTGTACTGTGACAGTCAAAGTGATATTCATCTAGCGAAGAACCGTCTTTTCATTCCAGGACGAAGCACATACAATTGCGATATCATTTTATCCGGTCTCTTCTAGAAGATGGGATTTTGAAACTTGAAAAGATTAGTGGAGCTCAAAATCTGGCAGACATGTTGACAAAAACGGTGACCATGGACAAACTGAAGTTGTGTTCAACTTCAGTTGGCATGCTAGAGTAATAAGACCAGAAATGCTGCTGCATTGATCGAGGTGTGAAGACAGATTAAAATCAGTCTTCAAGTGGAGATTGTTGAAATTCAAAGCCACCGGCTGCTTTGAATAAATGGTGGCTTAGAATTAAAAACATGTGCTGCTAAATATTTTATTATTTTGTAATAGGTATAATTACAAAATTGAGTCATTGAACTTTAGGGTATTTTCAAAGATTAGTCCATAAGTTTCAACTATAAATACCCTAGCTCATTTAGCTTAAAATCATCCCAAAATCTTTTAGCTCTCTTCAAGTGTGTTTTGTAAACACCTGTAAATTTTCTCTTAGTAAAAGATCTGCAGCAGCCCAGAGACGTAAGCACAATTGGCTGAACTCGTTATCAATTTCGGGTATTATTTTCCCGCTTTTATTTCGCATTCTCACTAATCTGGCTATAGGAAATTACTTGTTCTCGTTATATTTCCTAACAGGGACAGGCTCATGGAATGCTTCTTCTGGTCGGTCGGAGTGGTTTCTGAACCCCAATTCAGGGATTACAAAAAAAGTCTAACCAAAGTTGCCTCACTGGTAACAACAATCGATGATGTTTACGACGTTTTCGGCACTTTGGATGAACTTGAGTTATTCACCGACGCTATTCAAAGGTTTGAATCTTAAGGTAATCCCAATCTTATTTTGCCCTTACTATTCAATATTCTAATAAGAAAATTTCTACCTTGGATTTCAGATGGGATGTATGTGCAGGGAAAAATCTTCCAAAGTGTATGGAGCTATGCTTCCTTGCCCTTTACAACTCTGTTAATGAGATGGCATACGAAACTCTTAGAGATCACGGGGAAAACATCATCCCATACTTAACAAAAGCGGTATGGTAAACATTTTCTTAGCTTATTGATAATGCACACATCCTGTAAACACAACTGCTTGACTTTCTATTATTTTTCTTTCAGTGGGCTGATCTGTGCAAAGCATTCCTGCAAGAAGCAAAGTGGGCAGGCATCAAACATGTTCTGACATTCGAAGACTATCTCGAAAACGCATGGATGTCTGTCTCTGGACATGCTTTTCTAGTCCACGCCTACTTTCTACAAAGCTCAAACATCGCCAGTGAGGCACTCGATAGCTTGGAAAGTTACCACGATGTTCTTCGTTGGCCATCCACGATTTTTCGACTCTGCAACGACTTGGGAACTTCAAAGGATGAACTGGAAAGAGGTGAAAGCGCAAACTCGATCACATGCTACATGAAGGAAACTGGTTGCTCCGAGGCAATGGCTCGACAACATGTAATTGATCAGATCGACGATTATTGGAAAAAGATGAACAGGTTCCTGATCGATGGTTCACCATTCGCGAAACAATTATTAGAAACATCATTAATTTGGCTCGGATTTCCCAATGCACATACCAACATAGAGATGCACATGGATGTCCAGATAATCTATCTAAGAATCGAGTTCAATCGTTGATTGTTGACCCTATTTCTATCGACTACAGAGCAATTTCATAAGTTATGCATATTGACCTTAGCTTATTGGGTAATTAGGATCAGATAAAACCTTAGATGGCTGAGTAATTATGATTATATTATTGTTTGTAGATAAATAATTTTTTTTTGAAAAGGGGATTTATATGTATTATAAGAAAAAACACATACAAAAAAGACAATGAAAGAACTTCGTTAAAAAACCTCCTTAAGATTAGGAGGGAGGAAAAAGAGTACACTTTTCAAGTCGAAACGTTCAAAGCACAATACAATATATCCACCACAAAGCCACGCTCTAGGAACACACATTGGGAAACAAACAAACTACATAATCTCAAACACAAATAAAACTTAATTTCACTGTCAATTGGTACAAAGATACAAGTTAAACATGCAACCCTATTAACTCGCTAGTTTGCTCACAATTTATTTTTTGAATTAATTAATGGTATCTGATCTATTAATTAACTAATTCAAATTAAGTTTTGTAGAGGACTATTATAAGAACGACATTATCTCAATCAATACAGTTTACTCCATTCATAAATGTTAAAATTCGAACTCCTAACATTTACTTAATGGCTCACAACTTATTAATCATATATTATTTTCACTAAAAATATCCTTTTTAATTGGTTTAAGAGTTTTTTTTGTTCATAAAATAAAATTAAATCAACAACCGAGTATGTATTTTAATTATATTAATTTTGTTTTTTTATATTAATTATATTTTGTTAAGTAAGCACTTTTATCGGTTAGTTAAATTGTTTATTTATATTCTTCCATATTTTTTAGGTAGAACTCATTGGAAGCATTTTCTTTCCTTCTTTATAGTCTCACATTCATTTTCCCTCTAGGTAGGATTAGATTCAGAATTTATCAAAAAAATTATATTTTATTGGGTAAAGTGTACAAATGGTCCCCGACTATGCTGTAATCATATTTTATCATATCTCAATTAGTAGGTTAATGTCTAACTAAGAGGACCGTCGATTTTTTAACGGAGAAAGACTAGTTTGGGGCACATAAATAACTAAGTGACCATTTTATAACTTTTAATAGTCGGGAGACTCAACAAAACAATACCCTATAGTTGATGATCACTTGTGTACTTTACCCTATTTTATTTTATATAATTTATCTTTTCTATTATTAATGTTATTCTTAAGTTCAAATTATTAAAATTGTTAAGAAAATTCCGTAAATTGATTAAATACTTTTTTTCATAAACCAATCGCACATTATAAATCTTTTTATATAGTATAAAAAACGACTTTATTGCAATTTATTAGGACCTTCCCTCGGAAACCGACTAAGGGATAGAGCCTCTTTGAATTAGTCCAACACTAATCCAAATTACCAGTGAATTGCCAGCTCTACACCATCAAACTTGTGGAAACTGTATGATCCTCTAGGGTTAATTAGCTTACGGCGATTAGTAGAAAACAAGGCCCCCTAGGGCTATGTATATTTAATCCAACATAAATAACAGTAGTAAAAAAAATTACATTCAAACACATCATATACTTGAAACAACAAGAAACCAGATCATGTTGCTGTCTATACTTTCTCCAACTTCGCCGGAAACATTCTCTTAGAGAGGTATTTTTAGATACATATGTACGTATGTATGTGCGTGCGTGTGTGATGTTGACATCCTGACTTTATGAACTCAATTGACGGTTCTTAATGGATGACACTTTACCAGCTTCTTTTAATAGGGTCGCACATCAATCGTATGTATTAAAGCATGTGCTGCGCAACTTGTATGTATTTGCAATCACGGTTGGTAAATTTCTTTTGTCATTGTTTGTAGAGGGGAAGTATATAATAAAACTCTGAAGAAGTTGCATGAAAAATCTGGGTTTTCATTGATACTGTATAGGTTCAATGGAGTTCCATCCGAGGAAAGATTGCATTGGAGAACTTTCTTGGTTAAACTGGGAGCTGATAATCTCAAGGGTGCAAGAAATGAAGAGCTCTTTGTTGCTTCCCAAAAGTAATGTAATTTTCCCACATACATTTTGAAAAAATATCTTGCTAAATTTATTGAATGATTTTTAATGTAGAAGTGAATATTGTTCTTTCTAAAATATTTGAATTTAAACAATTATATTTTTATTAGTCAATTGATAACTTTCACACATTGATGGAGTCAGTATAAATCGACATCCCAAAAATTTCTAAAAAGAAAATTTCCCCATATAAATTATATATATAATATAAAAGAAAAAATGACATCACTTTTAAAAAGGTTTAGCATTCTTTAAAAAGAAATTGATTCTATATATTTTTTTAATAGTCTAAGGTGATTGTAAGATAATATTTGTTTATAATATTTTTTACTCATTGATAACACATACATGTAGACGTAACTGCTTGAACTCAGGACATGTAGAGACATTAATACTCCCTTTAACAATAAGAAAAGCTGACTTTTCTCACTAAAAAAAATTCTTCATATAGTTTATAAATTTAATACTTGAAACAAATTTTCTAGCTTTGCCCATGTATACGCTCTACAGATACAACTATTTGAATCAAAGTCCTATAAAGAAAATAACATTCACTTTTACCACTTATACACTCAAAGTCCTATAAAGAAAATAACATTCACTTTTACCACTTATACACTCAACTCAATAGGTTTGGTAACTTTCATTCTTTTTTTTTGAAGGAGTAAAACCTTATATTCCAATAGAATCATCAATTACAACTTGCTTAATACAATCAGGTTCATCTAAATAAAACCAAACTGGATTGATGTTCGATAAGGCCCATTGAGCTAATGCATGAACGCTCTGATAGCTTCCCTACAAACATAATGCACTTTAACAGAAGGAAGGTTAGCTAAAATCAGTCTAGCCTCATTGAGCAACAATCCAATTGTAGAGATATCTTGTGTCTTCTTAGTAACCTTATTAGACAGCTTGTAAGTAATCGAAATGGCATCTCCTTCGATAATTGCGTTGTTCCAACCATTTTTGGAAGCCAATCGGATACCCTCAGTGAAAGCAATTGCTTCTGTGGACTCGGCCGTGAATGGAGGGTCAATCTTCTTCGCCAATCCCCCAATAACCATTCCATGCGAATCCCGAGCCATAATACCAACAGTCGCAACTCGAGAAGCCTTACAAAAAGCCCCATCAACATTAATTTTAACCTCATCCTGGGTCGGTTTAAGCCAACAACGTGGTCTTCGAAGAACAACATCACTTGAAATCCATAAAGAATTCGAAGCAAATTTGTACTCCCCAATCAAATTCGAGGAGTTGATAATTATGTCCCTGTCTGATTGCAAATCCCCATTATGAACAAGATTATTGCGTCGGTTCCATATGTTCCAAAACAAAGCCAAAAACAAATCGAAACCTTCACCATTCAGCTTGGACTGAGCATATGACAACCACATGAGAGACGAGTTTCCACTCCAATCAATAATCTCGGGGGAAAGTCACGACATCAAAAGAACCGTCTTTACTTTAGGGCAATCTTTAATCGCGTGAATAATCGATTCCAGCACACAAAGACAAAGAGGACATCTCCAAGATTTGCTTGTTTCATTTTAGATCCCACGGAATGGCTTCATGACAAATGCACCAACCAAATATTCTGATTTTTGGGAGAACCTTCGCTTTAGCCACCGCATTCCAAATTCCATCCGCAACCATAGTCGGACTATTTTGAATTTTCAACCAATTATACCTGACTTAGCCGAGTAACACCCCGAACTATGATGACCCCATAACAATCTGTACCCACAATTCAGAGCTATCAACATATTAAGAACTTGCGAAGCATCCTCCGTCCGAAGTACTCCAACCACCTTAGGCTCGTCCCACCTTGCACACCCTGGAATCATAAAATCCGTAACTCTAACCGATAGTTCAGCATGATCCATATATCTCTCGTTCCACTGAATAGGACAAACGTCCCCCCATTTGTCCTCAAACATGCGAGCCTTGTTGTCTATACCCACTCTCCAGAAAAAACCTTCCTTGAGGGCTTCTTTGGCCTTCATGAGACTCGCCCAAGCAAAGAATATTTAGCCCCAAGTTTTGCCTCAAAAAACGAAGAGCACGGGAAGTATTTCGCTTTAAGGACCTTGAAAGCCAAAGACTGTTTATCCTGAATAAGTCTCCAAATCTGATTCCCAAGAAGCGCAATATTAAACAAATTAAGGTCCCTGAACCCCATCCCTCCAAAATTTTTGGACTGACAAATCTTATCCCATACAACCATCGCCCAACCTCTGGAATTCTGTTTCCCAGACCACCAAAAAGATCTAGCTTGCGACTTAATGTAATCAATCACCCCCTCCGGAAGAAGATAACATGTCATGGCATAAGCGGGAAGCGCCTGAACCATAACTTGATGAAAACTTCTTGTCCTCCAAAAGACATGAGTCTCTTAGTCCATCCATGAATCCTCTTCTCTTCCTTATCTCTGATAAAGTTGAAGGTCGCCCTTTTGCCTTTCCCTACTGCAAGTGGAAGACCAAGGTAATTCCCCGGATACGTGGCCTCAACGACTCCTAACTCGCTCAAAAAGGTCCTCCTATCCACAGCGGGGGTATTAGGACTGAAATAAATGCTGGACTTCTCATAATTCACCTTCTGTCCTGAAGCTTTCTCATATTTAGCTAGGATACTCTTAACTTTGTGCACTTCCGCAGCTGAATTTTTCACGAACAACAAGCTATCATCTGCATACAACAAATGTGTAATCCTCGACCCTCTCATGCTCGCTCTAATGCCCTTAATCTCGTTCCTACCTTGAGCCTTAAGGAGTAAGGTAGACAGCCCCTGAGCGCAAAACAGAAATAGATATGGAGATAAGGGATCTCCTTGTCGGAGACCCCTCTGAGGAATGAAAGAGTCAGATAACACACCATTAATACGCACTTGAAAAGAGACCGTGAAAATACACTTTCGAATAAGATTAACAAATGAACAACTAAAGCCCATCCGAAGCATAACATCTAATAAAAAATCTCATTCCACTCTATCATACGCTTTCTCCATATTTAACTTAATAGCAGCGCCCTTATTGGGACCATTTTTAGACCCTTTAAGATAATGGATAAGTTCATGAGCCACAAGAAAATTATCAGAAATATAACGACCAGGGACAAATGCGCATTGATTCTCGGCAACACAAGCATGCATCAGAGGTTTAAGGCGGTTTACTATAGCTTTTGACACAACTTTATAGATGACCGAGCATAAGCTAATCGGTCTAAATTGCTTCATTAATTTTGGACTAGTAACCTTAGGGATAAGAACAATAATAGTACGATTAACATAGTTAAAATCCATCGTACCATTCAAAAGGCTAAGACAAAGATTAACAAAATCACATCCAACAATATTCCAAAAAGAACGGAAAATTGACCTGAAAGGCCATTGAACCCAGGAGCTTTCGAGGGATTAACTTGGGAAAAAACAATGGTGACCTCCTCGGCAGAAAAGTCTCGGCAAAGCATCTCGTTATCACAAGGCGAGACAAATCGAGCAATGGCTTGAAGGATCTCCTCGTCGGGATCCGCTTCAGAAGAACGAAAGAGAGAGGAAAAGTAGCTCATAGCGACACCAAATATGTCCTCCAAACTGTCACACAAACCCCCCTCATTCTCCAACCCCTCGATCCAGTTCTTTTTTCGACGCCCATTAGCTCTTGCATGAAAAAAGGAAGAATTACGATCCCCATTCTTAAGCCATTCCACTCGGATCTTTGAAGCCAAAACAACACATCTTTATCCATAACGTCCTTGAGATCCACAAGAGCTTTCCTCCGACGCTCACAAGACTCATCCGTGACCGAACCTGAATCAAGCCTAAGAATAACACTCCTTAAGCGCCTCTCTTCCCTCTTGGCTTGACTCTTTCTCACTCTCTACCAGCCTCTAGCGTAGACCCTATTTTCCCCACTTTCACTGAGAAAGAATCTTCATTATTCTCCCAAACCCGATGCACAATATTTCGGCATTGATCTTCATTAGCCCAACATACATCAAATTTGAAATAATCCCTCCTAGACAAGCAGTTCGTAACAGCACCCTCCAAACTCAACGAGATCACAGAATGATCGGATGACGCCGTCGGAACTGTATCCACAAAGCACTCCAGGAACAAGAGTCTCCAATCGATCTTCACAACAAATCTATCGATTCTCTCGCACACATACGTATTAGCACGGGTACCACTAGCCCAGAAAAACCAACCACTCCTAGGTTTAATGTTCCACACATCGACTCCACGAAGACAACGCTAGGACTCCTCCATATGAACCCTCATCGGTTTCCTCCCTCCTCTCTTTTTATCCGGATGAATAATTTCATTAAAGTCTCCTCCCAAGCACCAAGGAAGAGAAGAGGTAGAGGCCAAATGAGAAATTATCTCCCAGTTGTGCTTTTTATCCGACCACCTACTGCGCCCATAAAACCCCGTAAACCGGAATTTCTGCTCCTTCCAAAAAACCTCCACATCAATATGTAAATTAGAAAAGCTCTGAAGCGAGACATCTAAACCCTCATTCCAAAGCATCATTAATCCCACACAATGATCCAATCTTTCCACTGAAAAACAACCAAACATCTTTGTAGCCAATCTAATTGCATCCGTTTTATTTTTTCGCAACTTAGTTTCAAAAACAAAAACCAACATCGGGTCCTTTTCGGAGATCAGTCTCCTAAGCTCTCGAACTGTCACGGGGTTCCCAAGCCCCCAACAGTTCCAGCACAGTATCGTCATGGCTCCTGGCGAGGCTGAACCTCAGCCGTCGTCGTTAATAAAACATCCCCTACACATTCCTCCAGTATCTCACTAGGGTCTCCTCCTCACTATTACCCACCTTTGAGTTCAAAGTGGAGTCGGAAATATGCACCACTTGTCGATTCACTCGCTTAACTTTCCTCTTTCCCTTACTCGTCTCCCCAATCTTCCTCTTCCCCGAACTGGAAGAACCAACCTCAGCCTCACGCTCAATTCCCGGTTCGGTTGTTGCTCTTCTATCAAAACTCGGTCACTCGCAAGGAAAACTTCCGGGAAAGTCCGAGGAAGGGAGCTATCAGGCCCGGTTAGGTCAGTCGGGTCCGAATCGTCCTCGTGGTTGGAGTTAGATGAGTGCAACAATCATGTCCTAGCATCCACGATCTTCCCCGGGGAGTCCTAATACCCCTTTTCGAAAGAGGGATGTTCGCCGAGCTAGTCATTGACCTTCCATTGTTCTCCCCTTCAACGTAGATAATCCATTCTTTCCTTCTGGTGCTACTTTCTTCGGGTCTCTTGATAGATGACACTCTTAGCCATTCCCCGAATTGGAGTAGTTGCTGCAGTTGGTCCGAGAAACCGATATTCCATGAGAACATGACCAATAATTCCACACCTATGACAAAACGAAGGCAACCGTTCATACTTTAGTAGACACTTCCTCGGTTCACCATTCGCAAGCACTCCCATCTTAGCACATCTTCGCAACGGTTTGGTACAATCAATCTCCACTCTAACTCAAAGGTAATCGCCCATTCTTCCATCTCCAGGTCTTGTGTCAGTAGCAATAGTCTTCCCTATTCTATTGTCTATCTTTTTTGCAGTCTCGATTTTCATGTACCCCAAAGGGAGCTCTTAGATTCTCACCCACACTCCAAGGGGCCGAAAATCAAACTCTTCAAGACTCAAAGTAGGATCAAAGTGAGCAATAGCTAACAATATTCCTTCGAAACTCCATGGGGTACGTTTCATAATGGCTTGCTTATCCAAGAGCGTCTTGAACTTGAAAATGAACATATTATCCTTCAAGATGCTAGATTCCAAGAGTCTAGCATGACCCAAATAGAACGAAAGACCCACAACACCACTTCTCTATCAATTCTCTTGTAACCAATAATCCTCGCAACGATCCACTTATCCATTTCCATAACGTCATCTTCAGTAATAACTCGTGGTGGAGATATGTCCTCAGACTCCTCCTCAGTGAATTTCAAGTGCTTCATCAAATCCGCAACCTCCTCTGACATTTCACTAGTAAAATGAAAATAAAAAAGGGAAGCCAAATGTCACTCTTGCACCCTCTATTGGAAGCCAATATTTCGATGGAATTACTTTAAAAAAACAAAGAAAAGGTAGTAATCTTTCTATTGATAGTATGAAAGGTAAATACAACATTCTCTCCCCTCAAACTCTTATCCCAATTTCGTAACACACCCTTCCAACTTGACTAAAGTCTCTCTGATGTGACTTTCTCCTCTTACACCCTTTGCTACTCCGAATAGGCTTTTAAAATATCTCTCCATTATAATACTCAAATAAATTTTGTATGAGTGTACCATTTCCCCATAAACAGCTAATCGCCCATAGTTTTTCCAGCAAGTAAGTCTGTCCGCAACCTTCAAACTGCTCTACCAGACTTGACCTTGAACTCCCATCCCCTGCAAGATCCCTGCCACTCCCACCTACTGTCTGCACCAAGTAGTATGTTAAGTAGACCAGCCCCCTGCCGATCCCACTTGCTGACTGCACCAAGCAGTACACTGAGTAGCCCAGCCCCATGCCACATTGGGAATAGCCTTCCTGTTGAACAATCTGCTTCCATCGAAGTAAATAAAAAAAATTTCTTTCCCCACGACAAGACCTCATGTCATACTTAAATCTTCTTAGATATTTCCATATAGAGAACTTCCAATAAAATCCCCGAATCCAATCTAAAATCAGAAAAATGATGGGCTCTTGACTTGACACTTTAATCACAAATTTCCAACTTTTCCTTGACTGATAATTCCTTCTATAACAACTTGTCTTAAACACTAACCAACACACACTTTCTTCCTTACCATCATGCTGAACTTTACCAAACCAACCCCAAAACTATTTGAAATCCCGTACAGTAGCTGTTGTAATCGTGTACCATCCTTTAATCTCTCTAACAACTCCCCTTCTCTTTTTGGATACCCGACTCCGGTCACCTTCTTCTAACCCCTTATCGGAACTTCCTGCAATTTTCGGCTTGGAACTCCCTCCGAAATCTTTGTTTGTTGACAGTTTTCCCATATCTCTCATACTCCAAACCCCTTCCCAAACCTTCTTCCACCCTTCTTTCTTTCCTTGAAGAACACCTTCCCACCCAACCAATATTGAGTGTTCACAAAAGCTACATTCCCTCTCTCTTCATCATTCCATCACCAACATCCCTTAAGAAGATCCTACAAAACATAAGTCATGAGTAATAAACTACAATGATAACAAAGATAGCTTTTACCTTCAACTTCCTCCGCTGAAAAGGAACACCGAGAACGACTCTTACTCTTAGAACAACTATCAAATCCTAACAATCGAAGAACTTGACATAAAAACGACCGGACTTTAAGAGAACTTAACCGTTTTGAGCTCCAAAAATGGAACTCGACAACCAGGGATCCATGAGAAACCATGGAAGAAACCGTTGAGACCGACCAATGACCCATCTCGAAGAAGAAACTTAGAGAGAAGGGAGAGAAAATTCTCTCACTAAAAACCGCCCCAGTAGACATTGTTTACTACCAGTAGACATTGAAATGTCTGAAACGAGGACACTTTCTCCATCCTAGTAACTTTCATTCTTAAATGTTATAAAAGGAGTCATTTATAACTAGCTATGGTGGATTTTCTTGTGTCCCTAATTTCAAAATTAAAAGAGGAACTTAAAAGTATATCAAAAAATGGAGAGTTAAAATTTAATTCACTTAATTTCAAAATTAAGAGGGGGAAAACAATTGAATCCAAAAGTTTAGAAAGCTAAATCTTAATTTGTTTACCTTCAGAATTAGGAAGAACTTAAAAATAATTAAACCCAAAATTGATCAATCTTCAATTATAGATGATTAAACCTTTCATTGACTTTTGTCCATTGGTTTGAATTATCAGGACAGTTTACATTGTTTACACAGTGCTGGCAAGGATGAGTATGATGAACTTGCTTGTAAGTTTTCTTTTTCTTTTTCTATACGAAAATGGGATTAATCCAACAGAAAAATAAATTAAGAAAACGTTAACGATCACTAATTCTGGGCTTTGAATGTTGGTATAGTGGCTGAGGTGATGTTTGTAATAACATCTTCAATCAAGGAAGCCTGTGGTAAATCCCCAAATGAACGCTTGTTTCTTGACAAATATGGAAAGATCTGTTTGAGTCTGGATGAAATTGTTTAGCAGGTACGGGTATCAAATTATAGTAGGACTAAATCTGCAAAAATGCACATAGTACAGGGACCTTCTATGGAGTTTGACCATGTTTTGTTTCTGGTTTCAATTCTTGGTTCTGAAACATGTTTTGTTGTAAAGGGAAACCTGGAAAACACGGAGAAAGACAAAATCAGAAGGCTGATAGGGTTAAAGCCTCCAAATCCAACAGAGATTTGAACTGTCCCTGGTGAAGACTGTGCTTCCTTCTCTTTGAAGATGGGACAATATACATGGAATGCCATTAATCTTTCCTCTGTCAAAAGCTTTGTTTTGATCAAAATATAATTCAACAGTACCTGTGAAATTCATTTGAAAAAAAAAACCCCCGACTATTTCATATAGAATGAAGAGTCCAAACAACATAAATAATAATAATGGTTAAAGCTAGACTTTCCATATTGAAGGTAACCAAGGCCGTAAGGAGTCGGTTGACCATATTTATGGATCATATAGCTTAGTTTTCTTAAATGCAACGCCTAAGCTTCAACTTAAAAGGCCACAAAACATTAGATGCTTCTAATCTACTTTTAAGCTAAATATATAGCAAGTTTGAATATAGGTCACCGCCAGATATTGTCCATGCTGTTAGCATGGGAAAGAACATAGTGAATAGCCTTTAAGGACCATTTAACCAGTCATGCATAGGATCATCTATGCCTACATTCAAGAACTCACCGAACACCATGAACAGTGTAGAGTTGTTGTATAAAAAGTGTTGATGGTCAACATCGAAAAGGGAGATTGTGATCGTATAAGGCGGTTCACTATTTTTTATTTAAACAGAGAATTGCTATTTACTATTGTCATGATAAGACCGGAATACATATGGGCTCAGACTTGGCTGCCCAATCCTGGGAGAGAATGGAGAGAGGGGGAGAGGGGAGAGGAAGGCCAGAGTGTTCTTTCAAAGGGCCTCTTCTTTTCAAGAGAGGTGAGGAGCTCCTAATATACCTGACGCCCTTCTGGTCACGTGATATTAGTGAATTGACTGATGATCATGAGCAATTTGGGGACTATATAATAGGTCATATAGTTAAGGCATTAGAAATGAGCTACATAAGAATTCAAAATTGAAGCTATCTTTCAACAATGGCAGAGTGGCCTTGCCACCTACAAGTCTAGTCCAGCAAAATTTATGAAAAATCAGTCGAATTGCGGTCAAATTCGATCAGCTAGGTACCTCCCTAGAGAGTCGATAGGCTTAGCAAAGTCGATGTTTCCAATACCCCGGCGCCTTACTTCATTCCAGCAGACTAGCAAGGCAATCAACTGCAATCATAGAAAAGCTCAACACAATAGACCATCAGGCTTCTGCAACTTCAGGGTACCATACTGATGCCTTTCTTTCATTGCGAAGCTGAAGATAATGTTTTTGGCGCAGGCACTTCTTTCTTCCTAAAGCTTTCCTAAAGCTGTCATAAGGAGAATAAATCAACCGTGTTGCAGGTTTTTATGGAGAGGGAAAGATGGAAGTGCAAGGGGGAGGGGCAAGGTGAGTTAATATTCTGGCCAACAAAGCATTGCCACCGCCGTTAAGATTGATAAACGATCGCTCCGTTTATAAAAAATTTGACCTTTACGTCGACTATCAATTTAGAAAAGGGTGAACTACACGTTTGGTAACTGATTTTTACTCTCTCCTATTTCACTCACTATACTTTCAATTTTTTTCATTTTACTCACTTAACTTTATAGATTGAATTTTTTTATCACTCCACTGTTAAATAATTAAACGACGTTATGACATGAATACTTACATCAAAATGAAATCGTTTTGAATTCTTTAAAAAAATTAAATTTTAGACTAAAACGACTTTATTTTGATTAAAATACGACATGTCATAACACCGTTAATTTAAAAAAAATCAATCTATAAAATTCAACGAGTAAATTAAAAAAATTAAAAGTATGTTGAGTGAAATAAGAAGTGAGTAAAGTTCAATTATCAAACGTGTAGTTTACCCTTTAGAAAATTAGAGTTTTTGGGAAGAAGGTTTTAATATGCGACGTCAATATTTTTTAGTGGCAGTTAACAATACTAACGGTAATGAAATCGAATTAAAGTTGAATGACTGTACTACATATCCTAAAAGTTCAGTGGTCAAAGTGAAAACGTACTAAAAGTTTAGTGATTATCGTTATAGTTTACTCTAAATATATATGTCAGAACTCAGAACTGCCGGTTCTCTAATAAACAAATAGCTAATAGCTATAGTATAACCCATTTTCGAATATTCTGAAAAAAGGACTATCCCCACTTTTCCCTTACCTTTTGTCTTCTATACGATACCATCGCTCACCAGAATTTACTCTATGCATCAAGAAAAAGAGAAGGGTGTGCTTTTGACCTGTGATCAGGTGAGTGGAGAAGCATGAAGTTTTGCAAGAGCTTAAGCATATTGATCGAAGAAGCTTTGCCTGATTGGAGGGATAAGTTTTTGCCGTACAAGGATTTGAAGAAGCAGCTGAAGTTGATTTACCCCAAAGATGGCAACGACGAGAAGCCAAATAAGCGGCCCAGATTGGATTCGACGGACCGTAGAGATGTTGGTTTAAGGAGGAGGAGAGCGAGGTTTCCAAGGAGGTGATGGATTTCGTTTTGCTGTTGGAAGCTGAGGTGGAAAAATTCAATGCCTTCTTTGTTGAAAAAGAAGAAGATTATGTTATCAAATGGAGGGTAAATTTCTAAAAAATTTACATGCACAAGTTTCCATTTTTGTAGAATTTAATGAGTTATTCTTGTATTAAATTGTTGGTCAACGAAAGGGTCGTCTTTTTTATTGATATGATGTTTATAGAGGATTATATTGAAACTTTTTGGTGAATTTAGTGATGGGTTTGTTGAAAATTTGAAGTTAGTGGAGTAAAAAAATTGGATCTTTTCCCTCTTTTTCTTGTTACTACTTCCTTTATTCCGAATTCAGAGAGCTTTATTTGTAGAATCTCTGCTGAATTGCCTGTTATATTGTGAAAAATTGATGAAAGAAAAATATTTTTTATTGTTATGCTGTTTATAGAGCTTTATATTGAAACTCTGTGGTGAATTCAGTGATGGGTTTGTTGTAATTTTGAAGTAAAAAAATATATCTTTTCCCTCTTTTTTTTGTTATTATTTCCTTTATTCTGAATTCAGAGGACTTTATTCGTAGAATTCTCCGCTGGATTGCATGTTTTAGTGTGAAAGTAGGATGAAAGACTTATCTGTTTTGGTACTTTGTGGTGAATTTAGTGATGGGTTTGCTGAAATTTTGAAGTTAGAAAATGAATCTTTTCCCCCTTTTTTTTACTATTTCTTTTATTCTTAATTAAGAGAGCTTTATTTGTAGAATTCTTTGCTGAACTGCCTCTTTTAGTATGGAAAAAAGGATGAAAGACACATCTGTCTTGGAACTTTGTGGTGAATCTAATGATGGATTTAGTGTAATTTTGTAGCTTATGAAGTAAAAGATGAATCTTTTCCCAATTTCTTTGTTATTATTTCTTTTGTTTTGAATTCAGAGAGCTTTATTTGTAGAGCTCTCCGGTGAACTGCCCCTTTTAGTGTAAAAAAGGGATAAGAGGTAAATCCTTTTTGATACTTCTAGGATGTTTGTTTTGAGTCTCAGATCCTTTATGTTTTTCTCACAGTGGAGTTTATTGATGTTATTGAATCTTTGAGGCTACATTATTTCGGCCTTTTGTCATTTGAATCATTTGGGAGATGTAGCATGTCTGTTTTGCTTTTTCATTGTAATTTGCAGGAGCTGCAAGATAGAGCGGAAAATGCCAAAGCATCAGATGGGGAGTTAACAGAGATTGGGAGGGAGATAGTGGATTTTCATGGAGAGATGGTTCTGTTGGAGAATTACGGTGCCCTTAACTATACAGGTAGTAATCTGTTTTCTTATAAGCCCATGTTGTTAATGAATGACTGAAAGCATGGCTAGAACTAACAAACATTCCGGTCTTAATTGTGTCTTATGTTCTTTACAAATTGTGAGAATATTGTTTGTGGAATTGACAAAGTCTTCTCAGCAAGTAGCATTTTTGTGCTATGCCAATGTTAGCTATGTGCAATCTTTGATGTATTATGTGGTCTAATAGAACATTTGATGTAAATTATGAACAGATTACTTGAATCTTGAAAGTAGAAAGTTCCGTTTAAACTGTCCGTTTGAAGTTCATATAATTCAATTTGAATGCTTATGTTGGTGTTGATTCTCTTAGGTTGTCTGGAAAATTTTGAACCTATATGATGTTCGCAGGACTAGTGAAGATAATAAAGAAATACGACAAGCGAAGTGGTGCTCTCATTCGCTTGCCCTTCATTCAAAAGGTCTTGCAACAACCATTCTACAGGACTGATGTTCTTAACAAACTCGTGAAGGAGTGTGAGATGGTGCTCGAACGTCTTTTCACCATGAACGAACCATCGGCTTCACCCAAAGCAACCGCCGATGAGAAAGAATGTCAACCCAGTACTTGTAGCAGAAGTAAAGAAAGCTTACTCAAAGTCCCAAAAGAACTTGCAGAAATTAAGGATATGGAGAACATGTATATGAAGCAAACGTTGTCAGCACTACACGTCTTGAAAGAGATCCGAAGTGGAAGCTCAACTGTGAGCATTTTCTCACTGCCACCTTTGCAAAATCACTCATTAGACGATCGAAAGAAAATTACCGTGCTAGAACAGGAACCGAATAGGTTTCCACTTCTTTTTTTTGTGTTTTTTAAACACGTACTGCTAACCTAGCTTTGTATCCTAAATCCAATTTCTAGTTGGAACTTGTATGACACCTTTTCCTATAAACTATTTTAAATACCATAGCATGTTGTTTTGACCTTTGACCTAAATCACTACATAGAAATACTAGGTTGCTTGGCTTTTGGGTTGTTCGTGTTCTCTTGGTGATGAAGTGGTGGGTGTCTTGTCTGAGTCAGGGAGTTGGGTTTTGGGTGCTGAGGTTTCCGGAAGAAGCACATGGTTAGCTCCAGGTCTGTTCCAATGGTTCAGTGAACCGTTTTGCACCCGAAAGAGCTCCCGGCTTTGAAGAATCCTTTGGTGGTTTCAACTTTCAAGTCTAAGGATGATCACTCATTGAAAGCAATAACGGGGAGGGTTTTCCTTCCTGATGTATCATGACCCTGTAACTTGCTTCCAGTTCTTGTTTATTTCCATGGTGGTGGGTTTTGCATCTGTTTGACTACTACCACCATTTCCTTAGAGATTTCTCCGTTGTGTGACAGTCCACTGTCATTTCTGTTGACTACCGTTTGGGGCCTGAACACCACCTACGTATGACTTAGGATGACTGTTTTAGCTTCCAGGAATGGCTTCATAGACAAGTTATTAATGAACCCTGGTTGGAGCAAGCTGATCCTTGTGTGTTTCTGCCGGTGACAGTGCTGGCGGGAACATTGTTCATCTGGTTGTTATTAAAGCTACGAGGAACATGCATGGATATAGGAAGCGTTGATGAGGCATGAAATTCTGCAAATCCTAAGAGCATGCATGCATGCAGGGTAAAGGCAATCCTACTGATCATCAGTGCTGAGAAAGCCATCAATGAAGCCAGCACCATTGCAATTTTCACATAACATCTGCTTGTTGCCTCTGCAAAATGATCATATAATACCAAGTTATTTCATGGATGAGAAAAGCTCGATACACAAAGTTTAAACATACTGAGAGTTGAGTTCAACGTGCAAGTTCTATACATGTCAAGTGCACTCAACATAGGTTTATGTTCTATTTACCTGCAAAGCCAACGGGAATCACCCTCTTTAGAATACAATGGGCTTAGAACTCAGATAGGTCACTTGTTGCTTCAAATGAATTACGGGCAAAAGGTAATCTTTTTTAACCAATAATAATTAACTAAACCTCCATACTCCTTACAAAATGAAAAACATAAATACATTAGATAAAAAAAATACCTGGAGATAAATAAGATAGATAATGGATTTATCTTAAATAAGATACATTCTTTTTAATATTATAAGTATCTACAATAATTTATTTTATCTATAATAATTTTGATATTTTAAATTATTTTTTAATATTTTGCTTGTTATTAAGACTACTTAATAATTTTAATTGCATATAAACCATTTTTTGTTAGACACGTGCAAGGAATTTTTTTTAAATCATATTACTGAACTGTTATTAACATATTTATAACATTAATTAAAATTATAATATTAAGTAATATATTTTTGAACTTTAATCTCAAACTTATTATCTTATTTTTATCTCATTTTATGACTAATTAGACCAACACATATCACAAATAAAATGCAAAGTCGAACAACATTGAGAGATTTAACGGTGGAGCCTAAAATGAAATTTTCTAACAACCATGACTAATTGACTTTCCTTAAATGACAGATTAACAGCAAGGAAATTGAATAAAACCTAGTCCACAATTACCAATACATCTACATAATTATGATAAGGATATGGCAAGAAAAACCACAATTGATATTAAACCCCTATAAGTTTTAAATGGCAGTAAAAACCAAGAAAGCAGATTAAGAACAAATCATCTCTCTTATGACATGCAACTCTCTAGAAATAGCAGCAAAAAATGTCATCAAAAAGGATGTTCATCCCTACAAATTGATTTGACATAAACTCCCAAGTGAGTTCTTAGAAAGGCTACAACACTCTTTAAGCACCAGTCCAAAATCACACGGCCTCCAGCAACTGCACAAATTTGAATCATGGTTCTGGCCCATCTCCGATATCACAGACTGTAAGCAACTTCATTATGATGGCACTAAAAAAAGAACAAATTTTCTATACATCAGAAATTTTGGTTACCAGGTATAAGAAGAAAACCAAATTGACAAGCGAGTCTTAGTGCCGACATCGATTAATTTTTTTTAAGACCGATGGTACAAAAGTGTACAGCAAAACAAACACATAACAAAGAGATTAAACCCTGCTGGAATCAAGCATTCTAATCTAACTATGCCAATTGTTGACGAGAATATAAATATCATAGTTATAACAAAAGTAGATGGAAGGAGTAAAAAGAATCATACTGTAAGTGGATGTATCAATCTGCTCAGGAAGTTCCTTTATATCCACCTCAAACCTCTCCTGGACCTGCAATGAATCCAACAAAATTGATTAGAGGTTGACATCATGGGGAAAAATAATTCTAGAAAGTATTAAATCCAAACCTGATTGAGCACATCAGAATCTGAAGCAGATGAAACAAATGTAATTGCAAGACCCTTGGTACCAAACCTACCAGCCCTACCAACCTGCCAATAAACCAAGAAGCAACCATAGTCAGTTCAGTACAGAAAGAAGCAAGACAAGAAAAGGTTATTCACTTTAAACATTAAACAGAACCTACCCTGTGCAGGTAGGTATCAGCAGATTCAGGCATGTCATAGTTGATGACAATGTTAACACGTTCAATGTCAATTCCCCTTCCAACCAAATCTGTGGCCACTAGAATTCTTTTATGCCCCTCCTTGAAACTCTTGTACCGAGTCAACCTACAATTCATCAGTTATTATTAAAGCCATGGACAAGATCAGATACTTCCACAACAAATATCAGCTAAAGAAATTTCTAGATGCTAAAACCACATAATATTTAAGCAGAGAACCTTATCCTACTGGAACAGAAAAAGAAACCCAGGCTTCTAAAAATGATGGGAAGTAAACAGTTTCTTGTAGGTAGATATAATACCACAGCCAAAACCTTAAAATAAGAGACCAAAATATGAGATTTTGGGGGGAAATATTGCCAAGTAAAAACTACAAATCACGTAAAGAAAAACATTATTTTCTCTTCACATATGTTCTCTTTCAAGAGGGAAAAATATATTAAGAAAATAAAATAACCATATTGCATAATCCAAGTCAACTAAATCATGTCATAATAAGGTTCCATTGTTCCAAGTGCCCAACAACACCACAACAAAGTAACAGAATACACAAAATAATCAACTGAACCATCATTCTTGCTGCATTATGAAAACATAGTAAAGCATGCCTCAAAAACCTTTGATAGAAAATACTTTTAAAATATAGACCTTTAATTCATTTACATTAAAAAATATAAAGTTTCCTAAAGCTTTTCTAAATTTTAAAATAAAAAAGACTGATGCGGTTCCTATCAAAAAAAAAAGACTGATGCGGAAAATAGAATGATTCAAGATAAGTACAAACCTTTCTTCCTGGGACATGCCGGAGTGGATGCAGATAGAAGGAAAATTACACTCTACAAGTAATTTGTTCAACTCAGCGGCTCGGTTCACACTTTTTACAAAGATAACAACTTGGTTGAAGTCCAATGCATCAAGTAGGTCATTCAACTTGCGGTTTTTCTCCAGCTCACTAAGTTTGATGTAGTGCTGCCATTGGAACCATTTTGCTGATCAGGTCTTAAATATATTTATAAATAAAAAGTTACTGAGGATGAGCAAGCTTCACAAAACACACCTGCACAAGACCATGAAGGGTCAACTTGGCCTCATCGTCCACATAAATTTCCATTGGCTGAAAGGAACAAATGTCATGGTAAATCATATTAGGGAGCTTCCTCAAGCAAACGGAGAATCCAGTACGAAATGAATTATGGATGCACATTGCTTGAATTGGATCCTGGTCCATCTGACTTGCCTCCTTGCATATTCATTACTTAGTCAAAGCAAGAAGTCCTAAGAAACAAAGATTTTATTACAAGACCACACTGCACCCCAAACAAAAAAAAAGTCCAACCCAAACCCACCCAGTGTATGTTGTAGATGTCCTTAGGCAGTTTAGGTTTGTTATTTCTAGATTACTCATGTTAGTTTAGATTAACCTTATATATAATTTAAATTTCAAATGTATTGTACAGTTGTTATTAGGAGTCCTAGCAGAAGTAAATCTCTTGGCTGTAGTCTTTTAAAAAGACTTACGTTGTAAACATTAATGAATGAAAATATTGAGAAAACAAACCTGTTTCCGTCAGTTTCCACACCCAGATCCCTAGCCTTAATTGAAAACAACTAATAATTTTAGCCAAGGTAAAAATCAGATCACTACTTCAAAACCTAAACACTGAGAACCTATCACTTCACAACTAACCTTCCCCATCAATCTGCATAGCCCATAAATGACTAGTTGAAGTCACCCCATCCAAGCGACAGCAGTAGCAAGCATATAGTGATGGACCCAACAGTTTAGCATTTTACATAACTCTTCTTGATAACTGGGAATGAATTAAAAAGATGCTTTCTAAATTGTAGTATTGACCATGGAATATTACATCTTGCATAAATTTCTTGCAAACTGGGCGAATTTCTTTGCTGAGTGTGGCAGAAAACATCATGACTTGCTTATCATGAGGGGTCATCTTGAATATCTCCTGCACATCTCTCCTCATGTCTGCAGGAGATAAATAGAATAAATACCAGAGGGAATGGTATAAGTAAAAGAATAACATAAAAAAGTAACACATTTATCTAGCTTTGGGTGAAGAAAACCAAACCAAGTGATTCAAGCATCTTGTCACATTCGTCAAGAATGAAATGCCTCACATTCTTCAAAGAAAGGTCCTTGTCTCTTGTCAGGGCTAATATCCTTCCAGGTGTCCCAACAACAATGTGGGGGCATTCGTTTTTCAGCAGATCTTTGTGTACTTTAATGTTGACCCCACCGTAGAAGACAACAACCTTAATATCAGGTAGGTAAGTGCTGAACCTCTCGTACTCGTGACAAATCTACAAGGAGATAAATGACATATATCATATCTCAAGAATGAAAAAGGAAATTTTAGGACCAAAAAAGCTTCCAAGAAAATATCCAGAACATGTACTAACCTGATAAGCTAACTCCCTAGTATGGCATAAAACAAGTGCAATAACTTGTCCTGGACTTGGTTCAATCTGTTGTAATGATGACAGAACAAAAACTGCAGTCTTCCCCATCCCTGATTTAGCTTGGCAAATGACATCCATACCCAATATAGCTTGGGGAATGCATTCATGTTGCACTGATGAAGAACCAAAGAAAAGTGCATCGAAGGAATCCGTGGTAAGTAAAATATAACCTCCGTGATCCTGTTAATTTAACTTTATGATAGTTGTATATTACCTGCAAAAAAAATCAATCAAAAAAATGTTTTAGACCAAACAAGAAATCAAATTAAACACATGTAAAAGAGAATATACATCTAAATTGGACATTTTGAACATAATTCCCTAGCATAAGAAAAATAACAAAACAGCCAAAGACCAAGTCATCAATGAAATTTAGGAACTACAAATATATGAAAACAAATATATAAAAAGGACCAAGAGTAAGAGTCAGAAATTTACCTTCCGAAGGGTGCTCAAATCCAGAGTCAACAATGGCCCGAAGAAGCTCTGGCTTCAAAAGGAAGTCTCTGAATCCTGAACTGTGAATCCCAACATAGCCCCTGCAACAGAGAAGAGAATATATTTATTACTATCATATACATAAGCAAAATAAAATCATTTGACATAAAATACAAATTTGACGGAATTAATATCTATTCTAACCAAAGTTTATTCGTTCTCAGAGGAAAACTAATGTAATTTGAATAAGAAATGGAAAAAGGGAGTAAAATAAAGAAATTCAAACTCACTTCTTGCCAGCCTCGCCGTTGACTTTAGCAGTAACGGAGTCAGGGGCTTTCTCTTCTTCTTCCTCGTAGTCGAGAAGCTCTTCCTCGTATGCATCGTTGTCCCTCGTTTCTCCCATTTTTTTCCTACAAAATCACACCCAATAACAAATAATTAGGGTTTTAGCGAAGTAGGAGATCGGAGAGCTAACTAAAAACAAGGTTTTCATACAAACACAAATTTCAAAGATATATCATAGATTTGGGAGATTAACCTGAGAAATTAACTAGAAGAGCAAGAAATTTGAGGTTTAGGGTTAGGGTTCGAAGAGAGTCTGCAAAGGAGAAAGGTTAGCTCTTACAAAATACAGAAATTTAGATTTGAAAAGGGGAGAGAGAAAGGGTTTTCTCATAGATAGGGTTTTTTTGGAGTTCGACGAGTGATCCTAATTGACAGCTGAAATTTTAGTTATTTTCCGAAATACCCTTGCTTCTTCTCATTATTTATCATCTTAACTGCTAGTCTCCCCGGTTGGACACGGGCTGCATCCTCATATCCCAAGCCCCATTTTGGGCATTTTCATTTGAATAATACTTTTCTTAATTTTTTTTAATGAAATAGTACCTTAAAAAATAATTTGAAAAATAACATTTTCTTTCTTACTCATCAAATGCATGGTGTTGAGAAAAAGGAAGGTTATTTTTCCTAATGAAATTGAATTCGAGTAATTATATTTATAATATGTGTTTTACGTTGGTAATAAATTTAAAAAAATTAAACAGACTTTGACAATTGTAGGTGCATTTGAGTACAGTTGAAGATTAATGAGTATGATATGATTCGAATGTTGAGAATGTCTCTATTCTTTTGTAACACGATCTAAAAAAATCGATTCCTGTCTTATATGATATCTAACATCAACAAAGAAAATAATTAATACTCCAATTGTCCTATAGTTTTTGTTTCATGTTGATTAAACATATAGTTTTAAGATATAAGTTTGACCACATGTTAAGCTATATAAAATGAGGGAAATGATAAATTTATTTCTTAAAAAATGATTAGTAAATTTGACAAATTTATTTCTATAGTTGTAAAAGAATGAGACAAATAAGGGTAAAAACGAAATATATGTATTATTATTTGTTGACTTTTCTAATAGGACATATTGCATAAGATAATTTTAAAAATTAAAATGGATAAATTTAATAGGACGAAGAGAGTATCAATTTAATTATACTTTCAGCTTCCGATAAGCGATTAACTTGGTTCTCGACATTCAAATTTCCTCTGGTCTTTCTTCTCAATCAAACTTTAAAACTTTTCTAACATAATTTATCAGGAAAAGGCAATAGAAGTTAGTTGTGTGACTTCTAGAGGATTTCAAGGAACAAGTGCAGATGTTGAAGCCATTAACTTGGATTGGCAGTAAGCAAGGTTGTATGGACATCACCACTGATAATGTAAATAAAACCTTGACTGTACTTGCTGTCTCTTGCTGCTGGTCCTGCTATAATAATGGATTCATCATTGAAAGGAAAGAGTCTTAGTGGCTATGGAATCGTATTAACACGCCAATTGATTTATTATACATGAAACTCCACTACTCCATGCAATTATTATCGGGATCTCAACGAACGCTGGTGAGAGTGAATGTTCATATTGGAAATAAACGAACATTTGATATGGAAATCAACTGCTGCAGCCTCGATCCAGGCAGTGCAATGACAGTGACATTTGAGAACTTGATATACCATAAGAAAATGCGTATGATAAAAAGAAAAAAACTGCGTTTGCCGGGAGTCGAACCCGGGTCTATTGCTTGGAAGGCAATTATCCTAACCGTTGGACTACAAACGCGCTTTGAATTGTTTGAGCTAATAAAATTATATAACTTTAAATTGCTTCACGAGCCGGCTCAAATGTTTGAAGCACTATCGAAGCGTCACATTAAAACTCACTGGTACGCACTACAAGTTCCAAGTGGCAGAACAATGGTTAAGCCCACTTGTTCTTCTGACTTTAAACCTTTATATGTTTTATTTTTTTTATTTAAATACCAGGAACTGAAAAGCTCCTCCTTGTTTGGTCTCCTATGTCCTCTTCTTACACATAAATGCCAAGTTGATTAAGTCCACAATCACCCTCACCAGGTAATACCCCTTCCCCTCCTATACTATTTTGTCCCATTTATTGCCTTTCAATGTTTCTCGTTATGTATTCTTCTGAAGTTAGATTCTTTGCTACCTACCGTGCTTTGCTTTGGCTGCTTGACCTGTGTAGGACAAACAAAGAAGCAACAATTATCCAGCTGTAACTTTTACTTCATTCTTGCAAAGAATGTGCTCCCAGGATTTGAGCAATTCAGAGAAGTTGGTGGGGTTCATCATATTGACCTGCCTTCCATGGACTAGCCATAGTCTTCCTTGCAACGTTTCATTAGCTGAATCTTGTCCTGCTTCACTGTATTATGTTCCGAGAACCATGAGAACCCTCGATGAAACAGCAGCTTTATTCGGTGTAAACTCGAATGCTGTGAATCGAACTGTTGACGGTTTTCTGGTTGCAATAACTTGCAGCTGCCTAGCTCTCCATGCTGAGTTTACTTGGCATCTGGACTATGAAGTCCAACCCCAGGATACGTGGGATAGCATTTCATCAAAGTTCGGATCATTTGTTGTGGAAAAACGTGAAAAGACACTGATCCCATCACAAACTGTGACTTTGGACATATTATGTAGTTGTTCTCGGAATGCATCTACTGTCACATACAAGGTCACAAAGGGAGACACACTCTATACAATTTGTTTGCGATTCGGTGCTGATCAAAATAAGACTGCCAAGTTGAATATGATCGAGAATACGGGGCTTATTCGTGATGGACAAGTGCTGTTTATTCCTGAACCAGGCAAGGAAATGACTCTCTTCCATATTTGATCACTTACCTAAGATCATCTTTCTGGCATAATGTTCAAATCTTTTCAGTGTTCGCATTTTCTGTTTAAAAACTTTTTATCATCTAACCATCTTTATCTTGTTTTGCACGGGGCATTTGTTGACAGAGGGCCTATCAAACCATACCATGTTTGACAATAAAGGTCTGCGAGAAGATCAATCTTTTCCTCCATTTCCTTATGATCATTGATAAATTTGTATATGTGTCTGTAGATGCAGCTGAATGTACATACTACTCGAAACTTCAAAATATTTTATTTTCGATAGAAGTGAATGCAGCTTATTATCTGAAGTTCTTTTCCTCTTACTTGCAGATTCAAGTGGCCAAAAATCATCGAAATTTCAGATCCTCGCCATCATTGGAGCAATTTTAGCTGCCTCAGCTATCTTTCTGTTTACAGTTATACTTGTTCTTTGGAAGAGATATAACAAGAAGAGAAATCAAACACCAAAGCCTTATTCAAGAATGATGGATAGCATGCATTCTTCTTTCGATTCACGCACTTTTCTCAAAAGTACAGGCTATCTGAAACTTTAGATATATCTGTGTTTGTGTCTCTGTGTGTGTATAATTTTTCCTCTGACTTGTTTGTAGAATCTGGAGGAAAGATTGTTTGTTCATTCAGTTATGATAAAGCTATTGAGTTCCCTTATAATGAAGTTCGTGATGCGACATCTAACTTTAGTTCATCCTTGAAGATCGGCCAAGGTTCCTGTGGATCTGTTTACCTTGGAAAAATAAGAGGGAATGTAAGCTAAAGGAATCTCTAGTGAATTTGTTCATTTCATAGACGTTGTACTTTTTTTTCAATAATATCTTTTTCAACTCTATGCATATAGGACGTGGCCGTAAAACAGATGAAAAACACGAAAACGAAAGAGTTCGTATCAGAGATAAACATTCTTTGTAAAGTTCATCATTCAAACTTGGTAGGAGTTGTTTTATCATGGATCATTTTCATGTGCTTGCTGTTTCTCTTTTGTTCACTTTATTGTGTGAATTTCAGATCGAGCTTATCGGGTATGCTGCCGGGGGAGACTCGTTGTTTCTTGTTTATGAGTTTGCCCAAAACGGTGCATTAAGTGATCATTTACATGGCTTCACCCGTAGAGGTATGACTTATGAAGAAACTAGTTATTTTCTGAACCCTTCTTGCTTGCTTTCTAATGAATATGCTAAGATTAAGACGATCCATAGGTTATAATCCACTTGGTTGGACTATGCGTGTTCGGATTGCTATGGATGCTGCCAAGGGTCTCGAGTACATACATAAGTACACAAAACCATATTACGTTCATCGAGATGTGAAGACGAGCAATATTCTTTTAGATTCCAGTTTTCGTGCCAAGGTGAGTCTTAACATCTTTCATTTACTTGTTTCCTACGCAAATCCTCTCAAACTTGGGAATTGATAGATAATAACTTCCGAGCAGATCGCTGATTTTGGGCTAGTAAAACTATTGGATTTGGACCATTCTCCAGATGTCGGTGCCGCAGCGTCGAGAATCGTTGGCACATTCGGTTATCTTTCCCCCGAGTATGGTAGTGGTAGTATAAGGTGATCTGTTATCAGACTTCTGTTGTATAATTGTTCGAGTTCTAACTCTAATGTCCATTATTAATTACAAGGTACGTTCGAGATGGATGTGTGACGACAAAGACCGATGTCTATGCCTTTGGAGTTGTCCTACTGGAATTACTCACTGGCCAACCAGCTCTAAGCAGAGATGCAAGCCCTGGAAATAATCGGTCCATCGAACATCGAACGGTGGCGGATTTTGTGAGTCTGCATCATATGAAGTACTTTATGCTTGAATGCAGGATAAAAACAATGTGAGTTAACTTTGATAACTGATAACCTGTATTCCAGGTGTTACCTGCATTAAACGATAACGAAAACCTCATGATCAAGCTGGCCAAATGTGTCGACCCGAATCTTACTCACTACCACAAAGAGACTGTTTTACAGGTATAAAATAATCCTGCTTTAAACCTTTTGGTTTCCATGTAACTTTTTCTATTGGTTCTGTCCCACTAGAGATTTAATTAACCCTGTTTTTTGTTGTTTTAAACTTATGGTAAAGATGGCATTATTGTCCAAGGATTGCGTGGATGATAACTGGAAGCATAGGCCAGACATGTCGGAAGTGGTGTTCTGCCTTTCGCACATTTTAGCCAGTACCGAGGAATGGGAGAATCAACGTTGCAGTCGAACCGAACCCTGAAAATTGCCAGTCGGAACCCCCTTTTTTTGGACAAGGAAGTCAGGGGGTACCATTCACCACTAGAGAAAGGGGGAAAGGAGCAAATCAAATGGAAATGTCAATGAGACTGCAACATCAGCATGGCATGGTTACTGAATTTAAAGGTTGGCAGTTGGTTCCAAATCTTTGTAAATCTAGTACTAAAAATTAAAAGAAACAGTGAAGAATGCACCAACATCAACCTGTTATTTACATAGAAATTCGACTGTTATTATTAATAATCAAGGCCACCATTCTCTTAAAGAACCATTCTTCATGAACTCATAAACAAGGTAGTAAACATCAGAGAGCCCACAAGCCGCGCTAAAACTTATTAAAATGAAATGATTAATCTCCTGCAGCAAACATACCTCCTTATCTACAACTTTGCTCATCTGTTTTATAGCCAGCAATTCTCCTTCAAGAACACATCGATAAACAGAAGCACCCATCTTGTATTTGTTGCTAAAATTTTCAGTTGAAGATGGCAAGCAAGGGAACTCTAATTCAACATTGCAAGTGTAATAAAAAGTTGAAGATGGGCATGTTTCATCATTTTCAACACTTATTTTTCTGAATAACTTTGTTGAGCATGGAACTTTCTCATGAAACACATAATAATACGAAGAGACAGATGAAATTATTCCATGACCAGGAAGATGAAAATAAATAAGTAAATGAAATGATGCTGATGAACGGCTCTTCGGGCGTGAGAAGATAGTGAAGCTCGTGAGTACCGTGGGTGTTATATTTAAGGGTAAAGTACATATTTAGTACCTTAACTACTGATTTTGTTTCATTTTGGTCACACACCTATTTTTTATTTTCAAAATCAGAACTAATGTTATGTTTTGGTTTCATTTAGCCACCGGTCGACAAAAAAATAATAGAATTGTTGAGGTAACATTTTTAAAAAAAAAATTAAATGATGACATGAAATTACCTTATAGTGACATTCATCATCACTGTTAATTTTTTAATGATGGGTGATCAAAATGAAACTAAAACGTAACGTTAGGTATGATTTAGAAACAAAAATAGTTTGATGATCAAAACAAAATAAAATTGATTGTTGGAATACTAAACGTGTAGTTTATCATATATTTAATGACGACAACGATAAAAAACGTCCGAGGATAATAACTTACGCGAAAAATGTTGACAGTTATTAATTTAAAAGAATATTTTAGAATTCTTTTTGAAAGAAGCCTTCAGTGTACCATGTCAATTATTCTTAATGACAATCGATTATTGTGATTGCAATAAAAATGAATTAAAAGATGGGTGATTGTATTAGAAATTTTAAAATTTTGATGACCAAAAAGTAAGTATACTAAAAGTTCATGGATTATTTATGTATTTACCTTGATTATTATTATAATTATTTCGCTATTGCATTGTTTGTATTTTATATATGTAAGCAGACTGAAGCAGAAAACTAATTTGGAATGTCTTCCCTCTTTCCTAATCCCTCTGCCAAGAAAACTAGCCGGCTTGAAGACAATCCCCATGACCCCGGAGACTCTCTTTGCCCCTCCTCTCCCACCGATATGGATTGTGAAGCCCCCATTAATCCCTGCCACCGCCATCCTACAAAAAGACATGGTGACGGGTCAGCAACATACTCACCTTGAAAAAGATCTTCTCGACTTGGATGATGACAATATTAATCTTCTTGAGGATGACATTATTTTTAGCGATTGGAATGGTATCCCCTCCATCGTTTTCTCGGAGAGAGTTCAACAACTTGCGATCAAGACTATGGAACTTACCTCAGTGGTCAAAGTGCTTGGACGACGAATAAGTTACAGCACTCTCAAAAATTGAATTTTCAACATATGGCAACCATCACACCAAATCAAACTCGTGACATCGAGAATGATTATTTTCTCACGAAGTTTAGTGCCAAAAGCGACTACCTCAAAGTTCTCACAGAAGGACCCTGGACCATTTTCGGCCATTATCTATCAGTGGAACCTTGGTCTACCGATTTCCAACCTTCTCAATCTCTGCCTAGTCGAATCATGGCCTGGGTGCGTTTGCCTTTCCTACCCGCTGTCCTGTACAAAAGGAGCTTGATTGAAGCTATTGGCAACACTATTGGATCGGTTATTAAAATCGATTATCAAACCAATAAAAGCTGCCGCGGAAGATTCGCTCGTATGGCGGTTAACATCAACTTCAAAAAACCATTGCTCTCAAAGGTGGCCATTAACGGTAAAATTCAATTGATAGAATATGAGAATTTGCCCTCTATTTGCTTCCAATGCGGAACATATGGCCATTCAAAGGAACATTGTCCCCACGTCTCTACACCGCCTGATTCTGCCACCCAACCTCCGTCATCCGAACAATCGCATCCGGCAAGATCCATCCCTGAAGGACCTTACGGCCCTTGGATGATTGTTGACCGCAAACAAAAAAGGAAACCGCATCTATCAATGGACCAAACTGCTCCATCTAAGGAAGTTCCCATATCTTCATCCAAATTTAATCCTATTTTTGGGGCAGACCATGATCCTCACACAGATTCTTTCCCCGATTCTTAGGCCTGTAAATGAACTGAACGTTCAGCGAACCGTTCATGAACCGTGCGGCGGGAAGTTCGTTTACGTGCGTTTATTTATTAAATGAACGAACATGAATATATGTATCGTTCGTTCATTTACGTTCGTGAACGTTCGATTATGTTCGTTCGTTTATGTTCGTTCGGTTATGTTCATTTATGTTCATTCATTTATGTTTAACCTAATCTTTTTAAATCAATTTTGGTGATCAATTTGTAAGTATCTTAAAAATATTAATTAATCTGATATTCTGATGACCAACTCTATAATTAACTTAATTTTATTTGGAAAACCAACAATATTAACATGGTTTAGTTCTTTTTGAACAATCCATAAGTTGCATACACAGCACTGTCAACATCCACTGCGCCGAAACCCTATGTGACTGCGTCACCAGCTGGTTATCCGATGAGTAAAGAGGAGTCCCAATTTTCAACTTCTACATAGCATGAAGCTAAGGACATGTTTGTTTGATCCCCAAAGATTAAGGTCGGCAATCACATAAAACACAATCTGTATTCATCTCGACTGTTGTTGAAGGAGAGATGAAGAAAGAAAGTGGAGGAACGTTATGCAATCTCAAATCAGTAGCAAACAAGCAGCTCAGGGTTGGTAACTTATATAAAAGAAGATGGGGGATAATAGATTTAAGCATCTTTGCGCTTGGGGCAATGTCGAGCTTGAATCGAGCTTGAATTGAGCTCAGAATCGAGCTTGAATTGAGCTCAGAATTGAGCTTCAATCGAGCTCGAGTCTCGAGTTTTAATCGAGCTCGAGTCTCGAGTTTTAATCGAGCTCTTAAATTTTTTTTGAGTTCGAGCCTTTTCGAGTTCGAGTCGAGTTTCAATATTATATTTCGAGTTCGAGTCGAACTTAATAATTTTAAGCTCACGAGTTTTCGAGTCGAACTGATTTTGAAAGTTTTTGAGTTTGAGTCGAGCTTGACTCGGCTCGTTTACACCCCTAGGTAGGGTCTCCAACGTTTATGTTCGTATTTGTTTATGTTCATTTATTTATTAAATGAACGAACATGAACAAGTTATGTTCCTTAATAAACGAACATGAACAAAAAAAATTTGTTCGTTTATGTTCGTTTATTTATTAAATGAACGAACATGAACATACCTCCATTCTTGTGCGTTCGGTTCGTTTACAGCCCTACTGATTCCCATGCAAAAAATCACGTCCCCCCTATGACTCCCATACAAGGAATTATTTCTGCCCCTAATCACTCATTGTCAGATCCCAATCCACCCTCTATCCAAGCTGACGTTACATCAGCAGCTTTGACCAACTCTATTGCAGTCAATCCAAACAGCTCCCACCCAAGTCTTGCTCCCCCAAAGCCAAAAATCAAGGGTAAATCTCAAATTCCTGTAAAAAAAAACAAGCCATCCTAGCATCAAGTAGCAAGCACCACCCCTCATCTTCCAGCACGAACCATTCAACCGTTACCGCTCCTTCCGCCATTTCCCGTCCCCCATCTCGTAAAACATCGAACCATTTCAGTCCTAGAGTCCATCTCTCGTCCAAGGTCTCCCCTAACCTTTCTATTCTTGACCATTCGAAACACACTATCGTCCATCTCAAGAATGATGTGAACCCGCCATTACCTTTGATTTCAGCTACAGGTCGATCTACTGCTCCGACCCATGACCCTACGCTGGAAGTCAATGTTATCTCGAATAATGGCCTCTCGACCATGGATGATTAAGGTTTCCTTTTTCCTCTCTTTATTGTTTATGTTGCTCAAATTCTTTGTATGGAATGTTCAAGGCTGCGGTAGTCGTAACTTCATCAGAGTTATGAGACAATATATGAGAGACACTAAAGCTGATCTGGTGTGCCTCGTCGAAACTAGAATCAGTAATTCTAATGCAGAGAAAGTCACTGCTGCTCTCGATTTTCCAAACTCCTTTAGGATTGAAGCTGTGGGGTTTTCAGGCGGAATCTGGTTGTGTTGGCATAACCATCTTAATATCGAGGTTTTCTTTCCCCACTTTCAATTTCAATTTGTTTATTGCCGAGTGCATCACAAACAGATGGTGATTCCTTCCTCGCCTCCTTTGTTTATGTCAGCCCTCAAACTTCCAAATGTAAGGCTCTTTGGTCTTATCTTTGGCAACTTGCTTCTTCCATTAACGAATCTTGGATTATTTCTGGTGATTTTAACGCCACTCTCAATCATTCTGATCGTATGGGTTGTGCTCGCTCTGGTAAACCCGACAAAGATTTTTCTTCCACCGTTTATGATTCTGGTTTACAGGAATTAGGTTATTCTGGTCCTAACTTCACTTGGTATAGAGGGAATTGCTCGGTTCGTCTGGATCGTAGTCTTTGTAATCAATACTGGCTCGAAGCTTTTCCGGACACATTTGTATGTCATCTCCTGCGCATGAAATCAGATCATAGGCCTTTGCTGGTTTCTCTTGGTCATCACATTAATCAAACCACTGCCAATTCATTCCGGTATTTCTCTGGCTGGTCAAACCATAATGACTTTGATCATTTCGTCCGCAATAATTGGATTTACACAGGTTCAATTTCCGACACTCTCCACCACTTTCGTT